ACTCAGGAGGAGGGACCAAGGCAGAATGCCATTCTGGTGGGCTAGGCCAAACCATTAAGAAGCCGGAGGGGCAGGAGGGAAGAAGTTGAATGTGGTAGAGTGGTTTTCCTAGGTTGATTCTAGTTGATAGTTATAATTAGCAGAGAGAAAGACTTCAGAAAAAATTGTGGAAAACCAGAAAGCATCACAGTGTCTGCTTTGGTTGGCACCTTTAGAATCCAACCTCCCTGTACCCTCAACTCCAATATGAACTTTTTTGCTCACTGACCTCTCTTTCCATCTCTGTGAGGTCACTTCACTCTTTCACTTGTTTTCGACCACCACAAATCTCAGCCCTTCTTAATACTGCTGCTTTTCATTTTTCCCTTCAGCATATATTTACTGAGTACTTACTGTGGCCAGACATAGCTTTTAGAACTAGGGATACAAATTGTTCACAATTGTTTTGTGAAATCTACATGACACATTGGCCTCTTCCCTCCTTGGAATGGTGCCTTCTAAGTAATTCCTCAGCCTGACCCCTGGGACTTCCTCTCTAGCATCCTGCATACGACTTACCAACTTAGCTTATTGGTCTCAGTCTTGAGGACAAAACCAGGCCTATTAGACACTAAAACCCAAATATAAGAGGGATGACTTAACTCGCTCAATAGAAGACTGAGACTCTTCAGGTCCCACTTCAGCGTTGGCTCAGGAACAAGACAGAGGCCTTATCGGGGAAATGCTGGAGAAGAACAGCTAGAGTGAATAAGGCAGGAAACCAATCTATAAAATGCCAAATCTTTAAGTAGAAAAATGAATAACTACTTGGGCAATTGGTGTTCTTGGTTGCCAGCAACGGAAATGGATTCTAACATAAATAGAAGAGTTTTTCTGGAAAAATGTGGGGCATTATGAATGGGATTTAAAGGAAACGCTGAAGAGTTAGGCTTCAGAAGGGACAGAGTACAGAGCATCAGAGGGACTTAGTTTGAAATCCACGCTTCGGTTAGAGCGAATGGTCCCCAATTATATTTTTGTGCTGCTTCTCTCTATTCAGAAGACAGATCCTGGGAAAGAGGGAAGATATTGTCCTGGCTTGAGTGACATTTCTGCCACTCCACACCCACACCCTGACTAACAATTTTCACCACATCTATAAGCAATAAGACCTGGTAGTTCCCCAAAGTGATATTGGGGTGTGATTACCAGAATGGGGAATGATCCTCCACACTCTGGATAATTCTGTCATTCCCAAAGCTGTGGCTTTAGGAACATTTCATGCAGATTCATTAGAATCTTTTCTCCTGGAAACATTTTCAATTGTGGGAAGTAAGACTGTGGCTCACTTTTAATAAGTGTGATACTCAGGTTTGGGAATGTGGGATGGGATTGATATAAATAACGATTACAAGTGATTTAACAATCCAAAAAACAAAAGATCTTATTTTTTTATTATTTGGGGTTCTTTTTTCAGTCTTGTTTATAATTTTGTAATTATAATTCCATTAATTTAAACGAATTAGTAATACATGCACATAGTTCATGTACCTTTCTCCTTGACACCTGGAACACTAATGTCTCTATCACGGACTTTGGATGCTGCCATTTTGTATCATGAGAACTAAACCTCCGGAATGGCAGAACAGTGTGCAAGAAGAAATCTAGGTTCCGATGCCTTCGTGGAGTAGAGACATTATGTTAGCCCTGGTCTATGTTGCTCTATATTTCTATGTAGTAGAGAAATAGGCTCCTATCTGTTAAAGCCACCCTTGTTTGGGGTTTTTCTATTACAACAGGTCTAAATTCAACTGATTCTCTGAGGTTATACCACCAATAAGTGATAGAGCCCTGATTCTAACTCAATTACAGAGCCTGGACTAGGATGAGGCAAGGGAAGCACCCAGCGTGCAAAATGTAAGGAGGCACTCACTCTCAGGCTTGTGCAAGTGTTGATTCTGCACTTGTATGAAAGAAGGTGCCTCCTTACATTTTTCATCTTGGCTACTTCTCTTGCCTCACCCTACTCAGCTCCATCAGCTCCCAGAGCCCTGTTCCTTCATATCACACTGACGGGACAAGGCTTAAGATTGAATCAACCTATTGCTATACCGTCTCCTTGAGAAAGTAACTGGTCTTAGTCAGAGATTTTTAAAAAAAAAACCATAAAACCTTTCTTGATATTAACTATGAGAGGTAAGATTTAAAAACTTTCTAAAGTCTCCATTTCATAGCACTCCTGCTATTTCAAGAGCTAGCTTTTATCATTAGCTGGCATAGGAGTGAACAGCCCTTCTGAAATACCTCGCCCTCCCATCCGCTTTCCAGGCAGGCAGTCTTGTTTATGTATCGTTTCTCCTGGATGAATCATTTGTAGCAAGAGTACAGCTTCTACTTGTCCACGAGAAACTGTTCAAAACAATCCTTTCTACTCTGCATAAAACCTCAAGAGTAACAATAGATATTCCAAATAAGACTGCTATTTGTCATCCTCTCAAAGTCAGGGAACAAATGAAAGTAACTATGTGCCATCAAAAATCATTTTGAAAAAAAAAAACCTCCCTGTGATAGCTTATTTTATTTTGAGCTCCCACCCTCCACCTCTTCAAAACCGGCTTTTTTATTATGCTTCCTGCAGAAGCCTTTCCAGTTCCTTTTGCTTTTGGTTTCAGTGTTCTTTTCACAGGAAATGTCCTGAAATCCTTTCAGAGATGTCATAAGGGGAAAGGAGAGGACTGGTTTAGGAGCCAGAGTTTAATTGTCATTTGCATCTTAGGGATCAGAACCCTCAAATCAAGGTTAGTGGAAGTGTAGTCATTTCACAATTTTGTGTTTATTTGATATGCTGACTTTATGTAGTGCTACATGAAGATCTTCCAAAGAAATGTTTTCTGCAGATCCCTGCTAAACTTTCAGAAACAGAGAAAGGGTAGGCAAAGAGACAGGGGCTGGAAAAGGCAACAGATGTGGAGAATGGGGTCTGGATCGTGTCTTGTGAATAGATACTGTCCCAGAGGCTTTACATCAACTCTTACAGCTCCTCTTCAAAGTGAGCGGTTTTAGCGGTCTCTTACAGGTAGAGAAAGTGAAGCTTGGAGAGATTAAGTAGCTTGCTCAAAATCACGCAGCAAAGAAATGGCAAGTTGGGACCCAGATCCAGGCTGACCCGGTCCAATCCCCGTGCTCTTTCAGGTGTGCCTCACTGCCTGTGAAAGCTCAGTCTATTTCTTTTTAGAGGGAAGATCAGCAAGATGTGGTGAAGAAGGAAACTAAAGATCTAGTCCCAGCAGAGAGACATCGTTCGAAGCAGTCCATTTTTCTGGGCCTGTTGTTCTCACCGATTGTAGTGAGAGAGTAGAGCTAGATGATTCTTAAACTGCTTCTCCTCTCTGACAGTCTGGGTTTCCATGTCTACTATCAAAGGCATCCAACAAAAGAATCAAAATAACAGGAAGGGTGAGCCATAAGCAGGATCCCTCCCTGCGGGTCAGGAGTCCAGGAAAAGCCAGAGACAGTCACCGCAGGATAAATAAACTGAGCTTGGTGTTCATTGCACTCTCTCATTTTCTCATCAACTTCTCCAGCCCCTGCTTCTACTATCTAAGTACTCTGTTCCTGGCCTTACCACCTCCAGCCCCCACCAACTTGTAGCACCTCATCCAGGCTTGCCTGGATGCCTAAAATGCTGAGTTAAAGGTCTAATTGTTTATTTTATTTTATTTTTTTAGTCTAGCCAAACAGATGGCTCCTTTTTTGCAAATTATAGGAAGGTGCTTCTCCAATATGGGTAGACGTAGCCCTGAGCTGGGATGGGTAGCTAGGCAAGCAGAGCATGGACTGACTTTCAGCTCCTGCCTTCCCTACTCAGCCAGATGCCTTGTGCAGTGCACAACTCACACAACTGCATGTGGCAGCCCCGGGATGAGGCCAACTACTGATTCATTTAAGTGAATGGTACTTTACCCATCCAATTATGTGTGCCAGATTGGAACCTAGGAGATATCCTTGACTCTTTTCTCACCTTCATCTCCCATGTTCTACCTACCATACTATTAATTTAGCTCCTATTTATCTTTCAGATTCTCCATCGTTCTCCATCACCCCCAC